CCCCTCACGCCCCCTCCCAAAAATAGCAGCAAAACTTGGGGTGGGATTGAAGGGTGTGTGTGTGGCTGGGTCGCCTCGCATCCCCCCTGGAATTTCTTCATGTCCCCCCTTGGGGGCACGTCACCCAGTTTGGGAATCCATTGTCTAACTTGTTCTTAAATATCTCCAGTGATGCAGATTCCATTTTCCCATGCCTAAACATCCTCACAGTTAGGAAGTTTTTCCTAATGTCAATGTCCAACCTAAATCTCCCTTGTTTCAATTTAAGCCCATTGTTTCTTGTCCTGTCATCAGAGGTTAAGGAGAATAATTGTTCTCCCTCTTCCTTATAAGAACCTTTTAGGTACTTTAAAACTATTATCATGTCCCCTCTCAGTCTTCTCTTTTCTAAACGAAACAATCTGTCCTAGATGACGATCCATCACACTCACAGACCTTGGGAAACAGACTAGTCCTCACTTAGAGACAGCCCCCCAAATACTGAAACAGATACTCACCACCAACTACACACCACAAAACAGAAACACCAACCCAGGAAACAAACCTTGCAACAAACCCCATTGCCAACTCTGTCCATATAGCTATCCTAAGGTATGTCTAGACTACATGCCTCTAGCGACAGAGCCATGTAGCTTAGACTGCCCGGCATAGGAAAATGAAGCGGTGATTTAAATAATTGCTGCTTCATTTACATTTACATGGGTGCCGCGCTGAGCCGATCAGCTGTTTGTCGGCTCAGCGCAGTAGTCTGGACGCTCTGCAGTCGACATCAAAGACATTTGACGACCTCCCTGGGATGAGCATCTCTGCCATTTCCAAGTTTCCTATTACTGTTTCCCCTTCCTCACTGAGCAATGGGCCTACCCAGTCCTTGGTCTTCCTCTTGCTTCTAATATATTTATAGAATGTCTTCTTGTTTCCCTTCATGCCTGTAGCTAGTTTGAGCTCATTTTGTGCCTTTGCCTTTCTAATCTTGCCCCTGCATTCCTGTATTATGTACTTATATTCATCCTTTGTAATTTGTCCTAGTTTCTATTTTTTATATGACTCCTTTTTTATTTTTATATCATGAAAGATCTCCTGGTGTATCCAAGGTAGTCTTTTGCTATATTTTCTATCTTTCCTATGCAGCAGAATAGCATGCCTTTGGGTCCTTAACAATGTCCCTTTGAAAACTGCCGACTCTCTTTAGTTGTTTTTCCTCTCAGTCTTGCTTCCCAGGGGACTGTATCTACCAGCTCTCTGAGCTTACCAAAATCTATCTTCCTGAAATCCATTGTCTCTAATTTGCCATTCTCCCTTCTGCCATACCTTAGAATCATGAACTCTATGATTTCATGATCACTTTCACCCAAGCTGCCTTCCACTTTCAAATTCTCAACCAGTTCCTCCCTATTTGTTAAGATCAAATCTAGAACAGCTTCCCCCCCGGTAGCTTTTTCAACCTTCTGAAAAAAAAAGTTGTCACCAATGCAGTCCAAGAACTTATTGGATAGTCTGTGCCCTGCTGTGTTAGTTTCCCAACATATATCTGGATAGTTGAGGTCCCCTATCACCACCAAATCCTGAGCTTTGGATGATTTTGTTAGTTGTTTAAAAAAAGCCTCATCCATCTTTTCCACCTTGGTAGACCCCTAGCATGACATCACCCTTATTTTTTTACCCCTTTTAGCCTAACCCAGAGACTCTCGTCTCCTGTGTCCATCTCCACCTTAGTCCAAGTATGTACATTTTTAATATATAAGGCAACACTTCCTCCCTTTTTCCCCTGCCTGTTCTTCCTAAGTAATCTGTACCCTGCTATACCAATATTCCAGTTGTGTGTATTATCCCACCAGATCTCTATGATGCCAATGATGTCATAGTTGTATTTATTTATTAGCACTTCTAGTTCTTCCTGCTTATTACCCATACTTCTTGCATTCATATATAGGCATCTAAGATACTGATTTCATCTTCCCTCCCAGTTCTGCCTTGTCCCTCCTTTCTCTCTGCTATTATAGTCCACCTTCCCTCCCATTTCCTACTCATCTCCCAGGTCTCCATGTTCTTCACTTTGGTCACATGTCCCCGTCAAACCTAGCTTAAAGCCCTCCTCACTAGGTTAGCCAGTCTGTATCCAAATACGGTCTTCCCATTTCTCAAAAAGTGAACACCATCCTTGCTTAGCAGTTCTTCCTGGAATAGCATCCCGTGGTTGAGGAAGCCAAAGCCCTCCTGGTGACACCATCTTCGCAGCCAGGCATTCACCTTCAGGATGCACCTGTCTCTTCCTGGGCCCCTACCTTTGACAGGAAGGATTGAAGAGAATACCAACTGTGCTCCAAACTCCTTCACCCATACTCCCAGAGCTGTGTAGTCACTCTTGATCTGCTCAGTGTCACACCTCACAGTATCATTAGTGCTCACATGGATGAGTATCATGGGGTAAACAACTTCATGCCATTATAATTATTTATTTAGCAGCTTTATCTAGAGTTGTAAGAATATGCTGTAACCATAAGGTTACCCCAGATATGAATTTAACTCTGTATGTATTTTCCCAGAGATTAAGGGTAAATTTCCCTCTTGTATAGAAAGCCAGCAAAAAGCCTATAAACTTTGTAAGTTCTTCTTAAGCTTTCAGGCAGAGGAATTCAGCAGGCATATTAAAAAATAAATAATAATAATAATACCCCCCCCGAACTATGCAATTACATGCCAAAAAAAAAGGCATTAAGTCCTCCTGCATTTTCATATCCTGAGTATCTAGTCTGATTAACTTTTGTTGGGCCTTTTTTTAGCAATGAGAACTATATTTCACACTTTGCATGATAAAGAACCTTTTCCATTAATTACAGTTGATAGTTGATCCATCTTCTTTTGAAGGTGCTCAAGGGAGTAAAAAAAACCTAACAATTTTTTAGCTATGAAGTGTGAACAGAGTAAATGGAATTATGTGCTGTATTATAATAGCAGCAAAATGTCTGAATTTCTGCAATAAAATCCCCAAATTGCTGTAATCAAGAAGATCAGAGAAGGCAGATAGGTCAAATGGCAACTTTATTCATGCATAAAGCAGGCAAAGAGACCAATAAAAGTGAAAATTAAAATACCTAAATATTCTTAAAAACAACATAGCACTTGTGCTTTCATACCATGCAGTCCATGCTAATTAACAGCTTAAATTCAAGCACAATTTTACCACTCTTTCTTATGCAGAATAGTTGATTGCTCCAGAGGTAGTCCCACTGATATCATTAAGACTAACTCATGCAGTAAGATATTAATCAATGTGAACAAGGGTAAGAGAACCTGCCCCTGAAATTTGTAGGAGCCAATAACATTTCTCACAGATGAAATTTCATTGAAAACAATGGAATTATATAAGAAATGAATTTGTCCTGGATTTGATAGCCTCTCTTAAATAAGGAACTAGTCAGAGCTATTGAGCCTGATCAGCTTCTTTCTACTGAATGTTTTTCCCCCAGTAAAGTATTTTCTTTCACTCAGATTGCTCCAGCTAACAGGCATGATTGTCTGCTCATGTGATTACAGCCAATGCCTCTCAAGCTAGCCAGGCATTTGCCACTTCACTTCCTTGACTATCCATGTATGCTTTAATTGTCACCTGCCCTTCACTATTGCTCTCATCAGCTCTCCCTTCCACTTTATTGCTGTTTTCCTAGTCTTTCACTTCTGTCAGCTTCATGTCTTCTTCCATATTTCTCTTATTCCTGGAAGGGCCTTTTTGACTACCACACAACACCTCCATTCTTCAAACTACTCATTAAACCCTCATTTTCAAGTCATTCCAGTTCATTTTGTTTCATGATCAGTAAAATATTGTGTAGCATATTTTCCTTATTTTTATTTTATCTAAACTAAGCTTTTGGGTGCAAGAAAAGTATATAAGGGTGAGTCTACACGGCAGGGATTAACTTGAAATAAGCTATAAATATTGAGTTATGTACATTGCATTACTTATTTTGAAATAGCTGATTTTGAAATTGGAAGCATCTACACAGCACTTATTTGGAAATAGAGTACTCTTTCTCTGATTTGTCTTACTCCTCCTACAATGAGGGCTACAGGAGTCGGAGTAAGAAGTCCTTCCAGATTGACAGTATTTCAACAATATTTCAAAATAACACTAATTATTTTGAAATAATGTTGTTATGTAGACGTATCCTTAGTATCATTTGCAACTGAGCTATATAAGCAATAGAAAAATCTAACTAGGGCCCGATAATTTAAAGCTAGCTCTGAATTCTCCCCACTTCTACTTTGACCATTTTCTAGCATAGTTACTAATCAAAATCCTGATATAGGAAAAAAAAATTAAAAATAGTAATTCGGTTTCAAAATGAGTTAATTGTCTTGAAAGTTACCCTACATTTCAGGAGCTTCATTGACCTCAAATTTGGAGCAGTTGGAATTTAATCTCTCACTGATTTAATCTCCCATTTTTTTATTCTTATGTTTCCTGATTAAATTAAGTTTTCATCCCAAATTGACCACACATAGGGAACCAGAGGAGGATATGGACATGAGAGGAATATGAACATAGATGGAGTCTTAAGAATCCAATTTTAAATGCAAAAGAGTTTTGAGCATCATTTTATTTAGAGAACTTCTGATATTGTTGCATTCAGCAGTTAGTTTCTAATCTTAGATTAATGTGAATTCATTATTTTCAATGTCAATGTTTCTTCCTGTTCTATTAACTATTGTTTGATGTAGAAGGTGCTGTTTATTTTGTTGAGCTAGTGAAGATCTTCCTCTAGCATTTTTCTATAAGAAACGTAATTAACACATCTTTATACTTTTTAGCAGAAGTCCTTTTGTGATATATCTATTTCCTTTTTTTTCTTCTGGGTTACAGATAATGCCATCTTCAATCAACATACATGATATTAAACACGTATAAGCCATTAACTCTTTATTTTAAGTGGCATAAAAGCAATAAGCAATGCTTTCTTTTCAGATTTCGAGGATCATGTTTCCCTTCCAATATCCAAAGAATTCCTCTCTGAAGACGTGCAGTATTGAAGGTGAATGACCTTCATTGGCATTTGGGAGCTGGTAAAGGGTTAGGAAGAGATGGATCTTGAGTGCAGGGTGCATCATTGCTCTATTAAAATCCCCAAGGATATCTGACCAAGAATAAATGTTTTAAGGAACCTTAACTTTTACTGGAACATGCTAATGAGTAATGCTCTGTTGCCAGTAGAGAAGAGACATCAGTGGGGCAGTCCAGGGTTGTCAGGTGATCCATGAATTCATGAATTCTGGTTAAAGCCAGAATTCCCTAAATCAATTGTCTCAACAATCATCTCTCAAAAGTCACTTATATAAAGAGACCATGTGGAGAAAACTCTAGAGTCACCTTCAAAATTTCTAGGGCCCTCTGAATCTTTCCCTCTAGAACTTTCAAGAGGAGGTTACCAAATGGCCCTTTATTCCCCACAATGTTAAAAGCATGAATCATTTCTGAAATCACTCTGTGTTGGGGTATCACTAGTGAAGACTAAGGCTATGTCTACACTACAGAGTTTTTCCAGGATACCTCCAGTATACGTGTCCAAGGAACGTGTCCGCTTTTTCAGAACAGTTTCTGAAAAAGCAGACGTGTTCTTTCAGCATCCCTGTATTCCTCATTTTATGAGGAATATGGGGTGATCTGAAAGAGGAGGATTTTTTCATGTAGATGGGCCAAATTTTGGAAAAGCCTCTTCCCCCAAAGAAGTGGAAATTGCATTTGCAATTTGCGTATCTTTTTCCGACATTTGAAAATAGGTCAAGTTCAACTCAAATAAGAGGTGTTTTTAATTAAAAAATATTACATTTAATTCCAGGGACTCCTTCATAAGATGGATTGGAGCAAAGATGGCAATGGTGAGCAAGTGTCTTCTATTGTTCCTTTTCAAGATTTTTTAGGAACACCAAGACGATTTTGTAGCTCCCAAGAGTCAAGGTTTACTTTCAGTGGGCCTGTGAAGATCCCTGCATAAGCTCAAAAGAAACTGGTGCAACAAAAAATGTTACTTGATCCATAAGTCTCCCTACTATCCTGGAACCAACACAACTCCAACATTACTGCAAACACATTTAAAAATGACAGTTGTGGAAATTTAGCTTGCACATTCTGTTCTTGTTATTTTTACAGTAGCTCTTTTCCATAGATGAAAAAGTACTGCCACTAGCTAGAACAGAAGTTCTAGTGGAAGCCAATTGGACATGATTTTATGCTCTGCTAAAAAAAAGTTTGGTTAATGAACCAAAATAACTTGGGGAGATTGTCAAGAACTGGGGTTAGGACATTTGGAGAGAGCAATGGATTTTGCTTGACTTACTTGTTTTCAATTTGTTCTTTTACATTATATTTGGTTTGATTATGACTCAGCGATAGATTCACAGAAAAACCATTGAAAGAAAAATCAATAACACAAAAAGAACACACACTCAAAACTCTCCACTAATGATATCTCTCCTCCCAGACATGCAAACTGAGCCCTCTAATTAAGTCACAAGAGCTTTCTTTTCTTGGTCAAATTTAAGCTTTAAGATGGTAACTCTCCCCCGCACCACACACACACACACACACACACACACACACACCAAAATTCTTCTAAACCATACTACATTAGTGGATTCTATCTGATGGAGATCAAACCAAAAAATAAGTCTTCAGGTTAACCAATGTGTGTATATATTTTAAAAAGGATGGAGTGGGCCGTAGAAGTCAATGGGAGCTTGGTCACTAAATTCATTGGGTCTCAGATTCTACTTGACCTTTTTCTTCTGTAACACACATCTTTTAGTCCCCCAGATAAACCCCTACTACGTTAGAACAAAAATAAGTGTGCACAAGAACTATTCTTTTGTATATATAAGCTCTCCCACCACCTTTCATTATTCACTTTTTTGTACTGCAGGAACATTGAGACCTTGGACAAGAATGAAGCCTCCATTGTCCTAGAACATTTACAATTTGAATAAAAATGGATAATATGGCAAAGATTTTCTAGAGTGAGCCATCACAGAGAACCTTGCTTTCAAGAGCATAAGTACAACAATTTCTGAAAGTTAGTCACTTTTATGTTGTCTCAGTGTGGGTGCCCCAAAATGGAGGTGCGCCAACCTTTAGCTACTTTTAAAAGTTTTGATCCATGTATCTACTTGCCCACCATCGTGTAAACTTGTGGATGTTTGCATTTGCTTCTTGGGAACCCAGTGTCTGTTGAAATAAATAGCAATATAGATAACCTATTAAAAGCTCCGTAAAAATAATAGTTTTGTCTCATCTTAGGCTGTAAAGACATTTCTCACCCATTCTTTTTCTTCACCAATCTCATGTTTTTTACAAAAATGGAGAAAACATTTAGATGTGGTTTTGGGGGGAGTGTGTTTCTTACTTAAAACAGCCCTTTTTCTTCTCTTAGGACTTGATTGTGTGTCATAATAATTATGGCTGTGCTAGAATGTTTGAAGTAGCTGGAGACATTCTACCTGCTTGAGACTGGAAAGTAGAATGACTTAGGTTTCTGCAAGTGTACCTGTGGAGTAACTCCTACACATCTTTAAGGTTGCCATCTGTGACAGACATGGAGCTGTTACATAATAATATGAACGCTAGAGGTGTCACCATTGTATTAATTTGATATGTGACTTGGTCAGTGAGGGAAATTTAAGGTGCATCTACACAGCTGGGCTTATTTCGAAATAAGCTACACAAATTGAGCTACGTCAATTGCCTACCTTATTTTAAAATAGCTTATTTCAAAATTGGGAGCATCTACACAGCATTTATTTCAAAATAAAGCACTCTTCCTCTTACTTCCCTTACTCCTCATACAATGGGGGTAACCGGAATCAGAGTAATAAGTCCTCCAGTTTGACAGTTTTTCGGCATTATTTCAAAATAACTGCCTGCTGTGTAGATGTGGACTAAGCTATTTCGAAATAAAGCTAGTTATTTCGAAATAATGTTATGGGGAAATGTACCCTTACTGTATATTGGAGTTTTAGTACTTTCCCCTGTTAGGGTATGTCTACACTACCCCACTAGTTCGAACTAGCGGGGGTAATGTAGTCATCCAATTTGAATTTCCCGGGCTTCATTTGCAAGTGCGGATGACTACATTACCCCCGCTAGTTCAAACTAGCGGGGTAGTGTAGACATACCCTTAGTGTATTGATCTAGTTCAATAGGGGTCTCAGGAAAGAAAATAGAGGAAAGCAGCACAATTGTCCCACCTAAGGAACCTTCTAGAAAACACTGGCAGTGATTAGAAGACAATGCTTAGGGCCAAAGTGACCCTGCTATTTGTCCAGGCTGGGAGGCTGGAGATGAAAACAAAAACAAAACTAATCCAACCACTGAAACATTAAAAAGCCTTCTGAGGAAAAGAATGGAGATATGTTGCAGAGTCCTCCAAGGTGTTGTCAGTGAGCTCTGGCAGAGAGAAAAACTGACACAGAGAGAGACTCTGCTGAGACAGTGTATAAGGGAAGGAGCCTTGCCAGGGTCCGCATGTGGCAGATGGTGAGATACATGATAAACAGGCAGGAAGACATTCTTTCATTGATTTCAAGATCTGTTTTCTCTCCAATGCTTTTGGTCTAAATAAATGACACTTTGTTTAAAGGAGGCTGTCTGATCACCGCTTACCACTGCCATTGACCCAAAGGGAAGAGAACTGCTGAGTCCCAGCCTAAGGGCTTGTATACACATACCATGTTGCAGCAGCATAACTGCATTGATGCAGCTGCACCCCTCCTATGTGGTGAAAATGATCAATGCTGACGAGAGAGCACTTACTTGACAGCATAATGAAACTACCTCCTTGAGAGGCAGTAGCTAGGCTGACAGGAGAAGCTTTTCTGCCAACACAGCACAGTTCACACTGGCGTTTGTGTCTGTGAAACATATCGCTCCTTATTATTCATATCCCCCCCCTCCGAGAGAGACATAAATTATGCTGATATAAGCTTCAGTGCAGACACAACCTTTGTCAGACAAGCTAAGATAAGTCATGACTAATACTGGGTAACTGTAACCCAGATCTAGGTCTGAGAGTGGGAGAATCATATGACTGCATCCATATTCAGCTGTAGGGTGACCAGCACAAGCAAGGCACATGCAGGAACCCCACCCCTGCCCATGGCCCATCCTCTACTTTTGTTCCTGAGGCCCACACCCTCCTCTTCTCCTGAAGTGCCACCCATGGGCTGGGCCAGAAGTGGTGGTTAGTGTGGGGAGCCCCAAACCCTCCACCTTCCCTGGGTGGTGTGTTCTGAGGGGCAGGGACATGGGCTGAGGGCTGCTTTTGTATCCCAAAGTCCTCCAAGGACAGTTGGAGGGTCCAGGCCTCCCCACAGTGGGCTGAGCTCCTTGAGTGCTCTTATGACTGCCTTTTACTATCTGGACTGGTGAGGAGATGGAGATGGAGCTTTAGGGGTGGGAGAGCAGGGAAAGCAGGAGCATGGGGTAGAGCCTCATGGTAAGGGGGGGCACTAAGAATTACCTCAGCTCTCTCAATCTGTCTGGCCCCATCCCTAAGACTCAGACAAGTGGGGAGTGGCACCACAGGAGAATCGGGGACAAGGATTTTCCCAGAATAATTCAGCCTAGGACTTAGCTGAAAGTCTGAGAGCTGGCAGGAAGTGCACTTGACAAATCCAGAAGACAGATGTGTAACTTACCCCTTATCTGTGATACCATCTCCTTAAGGTTTTATCATGGATCTCCCTTTTTAAAAAGTGCACATGCACAGCTAGCCCTAAACTGCAATGTCAGCTCCAAAAATACAGGAAAACAGCCTTGTTGATAAGTAACATTATATTTTTAAAATTCTGGTTTCAGAGCACAGTGCCTAACCCAACCCTGCTCCAGACAATTTTCAGAGAAGTAGATCCCATTTTCACTATTTTTTTGGCTTATGGAGGGCTCTACTACTGAACTCTGAACAGGCATCTTTTACTCATTATAAATAAATACACAAATACAAAATCACAGTCTCACCCTAGAGCTTCTGTCCCCTGCTGCACTCCATTCTCCTGGCTGCTCAGACTGGCTGGCTCAATTTCACCTCAGATGGAAAATGAATCTTTCCATTTAAAAGACCTCTTTTTATTTAAATACCTCCCTTGTTGAACCCAGGTGAATGTCCCAATCAATAGACTGACCTCTGCCATAAAGAGTCAATTCCTTCACTACCTATGCTAGTGGGTTAATATATTCCCAACATGCGAAGGGGGAAGGGTTAGTGGGGAACTTAGTCTATCCTCTCCACTCACAGAAATTCAGGGAGGAAGAAGTTTTATTCTCATTCTCCTTTTTGTGCACTGACTCACGAGCTGCTAGAATATGGGTTATTTTATTCCCTTCAAAGGATGGTGCTCTCATTGTATAGATCATGTTTGGCCAGCTGCTCATTTCTTTGCTCTCACATTTCCCTTAATTCAGCCTGAGCTGAGGCATGCTCAACTTCTTACCCAGCTCTCCAAAACCCTTTCAAAATATGATAAGGACATGGTGCTCTAATTCTGATATTACTTTTCATTTCAGCAGCTCTCATGGCTCCCTCAGTGACATTTACTTTGAATTTTCAATCAGTTTTCCGGAGCAGTGTTTCCAAATTGGTTTAGATGGTTCTTTTGTGCAAACCTAACGAGCACAATCAAGTTTGTAATGGAAAGTGCATTATGGGCCAAACAGCAGTCAGCTTATGAGTTCTGAGGAGCCTGTTTGGCCTTTTTGCCAGAGTTCAGCAGCAGTGTGAAAATGTAGCTGCACCTTCTACCCATGGGAAATGAAATTGTTTTCTTGCCATTACGTGCTTTAGCTTGCTTATTTCAGCAACTTTGTAGTGAACCCATCAGTGTGCATCTGGTTTATTGGTTTAAAAACTAAAAGAAAGAAAGAAAGAAAGAAAGAAAGAAAGAAAGAAAGAAAGAAGCACTCATCTCTTCCACTGTATACAGGAATAAAACTCTCCAGAAGTCAACAGGCTTCATTCTCCTTACCAGGACTACTCAACTTTGGAAGCCCCAGGGGCCACAATGATACCCACAGCACATGCCGAGGGCCACAACTTAAGTGTGGATGCATATATATGCAAACATATATGCAAATATATACAAATAGCTTCTTTCACACTTATGGGCATGAATACAAAGATTAAGGCAAGACTGCACAACTCACGGGCCCCATTTAAGACAGTTCTACTGATATTAATAAAATGCAATATTTACCCGATTTCCATCCATATGACAGCACTTTTAATGAGCAATGACAGTCCAGGAATTTAATTACTAAAATGCATATCAACAGAAGACAATTATATTAACTTGCCATTGCGGAGTATGTTCCCAGTGGAGGCCATGTTCAAAGGATCCTACCCATGGGCTGCGTGTTGAGTAGCCCTGACCTATAGTAAAGTGAATGTAAAATGCTACCAAGTCAGAATGCTAGCATAACACCCACTTTGCTCAAGTGTAAATAATTAAGGTTAAGAGTCTTTATTTTAACTAAGATGTGTGGGAGGAGGCCATCAGGGAACTTGTTATGGCCTCCTAATTCTTTGTCCACTTCTGTGCCAGCCTGAACTGTTCACACTTATGACAGCAAACAATGATATCCAAGGGAGCCATCTATTACCTGAGGTGAGCTGGTATGTAGCATGTTTTTGGTGACACCTTTTTGTCACCTCCTTTCCTGAGGGCTGAAGGAGCTAACTGTGCTGAATTTATGGCTGAAGAGATGCATGCAGCATCAACTGCTTTTGTACCACTTGAATAGCACAAGGCATGTGGAATGGAGATGAGCATGTGGCACTGCTTGATTCAGCCATCCCTTGCACATTGTATAGTGCTCATTGAAGTCAATGTGTGTATTGTGGGCAATAGACCTGGGCCCGGTTGTGCAAAGCACTGAAGAAGTGACTTCAGATTTGTACTGGGGTAATTGCAA